TCTTTCTGCAAAATTATGTTGCTGTATAAGAAAATCTTACTCATTTATTTATAAAATATTATTCTTTACACCAAGACGGATCGATTGGTATATATAAAGTATATATTTTACTTAAATTTATAGAATTAAAACCAATTATAGACAAAAAATTTGCACTTTTAATGAAAATTCATTTTTTCTTAAAAATCATGTTGCTGTACAATAGAATGTTATTATTTATTGAAAAATAAATCAAAAATCTTATTCTTTGCATCAAGACGAATCGATTGATGTATATAAAGTATATATTCTATTGAAAATTATAGAATTAATTACAATTAAAGTTGAAAAATTCACTTTTTGACTAAAAATTTTTTTGTTTATTTAGATTCATATTACTGTATAAGAAAATTTTGTTTTTTCTCTTAAGACGAATGAACTTTATTTTATAAATGTTAAATTGTATGAAAAATGATTTAAAAATGAAATATATTTATCGTTAATGCTTCCTTCACGAGGAAGCAAATTTTTTTTGCTGATCGTAAAGAGGAAGCAAAATGTTCATGTAATGAATATCTGGATTTACAACTTGTTTATTATTATTATTTATTCAGGAAAACATAATTTACAAACTATAATTTACAATTATTTAATAAAAAAATTAAAACTTGATAATATTTTTTTTCTCGAAGAAACAAATTAATTAAAAATTATTTACAAGAATATCGAATTAAATTTGCATCCTAATCTAATTAATAGGTATGTCATGTATTCTTAACAAGTCGCGCGAGATTCCCTGTGAGAACTGACGTTTAAACATGAATCTTTGACTTTTGAATGCGTGCCTCAATAAAAGTTTTATTTACATCGATTATACAAATACGACATTAAAATTGCGAATCCGTTTAATCTATCGTTTTACGATTAATTTCTCTGGCGAGCGATGAAAGTTCAACGTAAGACAAGAAAGATTTGTAGAAACGTGTGTGAACTACTTCACCTACAAAAGGCGGGGTCATAAAAAGGAATTTTTTTCTCTCTCTACTTTTAAAATTACTTTATTAATTTTTCTTTTTCCTTTTAAATAGTTTAAAACATTTAAAAGCACTTTTGAATTATTGTTATTTTCTTGTTTTTTTTATTGGAAGCAATTTGTTTAATAGATCAAATATTTTTATTCTGTAGATTTGAATTATTAGTGTAGAATGATAATTGTTTAGAATTAAAAAAAACTTGATTCTACATGTGAAGAAGTTTAATTGACGCACAATGATGTGAAATTAAAGAGAATAAAATACGCGAGGAACGTATGAATTATTGACACACCGCTTTTTTAACTTTAAACAATTATTATCCGTTACGTGACAAATTGCACGGAATGTTTTAAGGAGAGAAAAAAGTGAAAAAATATTTGAAGAAGAGTTAGATTTTTTTTACAAAAAAGAAGGAAATGGACGATTTATTTCCTTGTTCAATTTCATAATTTTTTAATAGATTTCTAATTCAGATGATAGTAAAAATAAAATTTTTTCTAAATGAATATTAATTTTTTAAAACAATTTTGATGAGGCAATAAATAAAATTAACGTTTTATTTAAATATAATTAATTATTTTTGTTACAAAGCTCGAAAGTTTGCATTAATTAGCCAAAGTACAAAGACTGGTAAAGATCATTGAGTTTCTTTTTGCACATAATTCATTCAGTAGATTTTTCTGTCTTTTTCCCGTGAGACTGAATGTCTTGTTTACTTCCGCGTGAACACGCATTCGAAGTATTCTTCGTAACACTTGGTTTTCAACCATAATTTTTCTCCACATATTTTAAAATTTAAACTAAATCTGCAGTTAAAAATATTTCATTCTAATCAGTCTATTGACTTGAGTTTCTTTCCATTGAGTAAATAATTTAACAATTAATTATTTAACGATTATAATTAACGATTATAAAATAACGTGATATTTAATTTATTATTATTTTGCAAATTACAAAATTTTTTATTTTTAAATATGAATTTTTGAATAATTTCAGATTCAAACTTTAAAAATATTCAATTATTAACTAATTTACTAATTAATTATTCTTGTTTATTAATTTCAAAAATTTTAATAAAATTCTTCGCAAGAATTCAATTATTTTTGAAAATAATAACATTCTTCGTAAGAATTCAATTATTCTCAAATTTTCAATGCATTAATTTTAACATTAAAAATATTTAAACGTAAAATTATTAAAAAAGTTAAGAAACAAAACAGTAAACAACAATGAACTTCAAACTACGAACAGATTACCGGAATACGATTATTAATATAGATTGTCTTTAAACAAAATAATTTCAAATTAGATTTCTTAAGGGGGAATAGAATTAAAAGAGAAAATTTTTGAATTGTCAAGGTGAAAATTAGTTGAAATAAATGGACTTAGAATTTAATTGCGCCCTAGTTTTGAAACAGTTTAGTAGTTCATTAATCATAATGAAGTGAGAGAGGTGAGAGTTGAAAATAATTGAAAGCGATACAGTGGGTTTGAGGAGCGAAAAGTATATAGATATCCAATTTGAATAACAAATTGCTCTTTGCCATATTTAGAATGAAAGAAGTAACTAGCGATTTCATTAGTAGACAATGCTTAATGTTTAGTTATACAAAATGAAAACATTTTTCTCTGACGCGCCTTTATCCTGTTTAACAGTAGTCCTTCTAACGTTTCGTGTCGAAAGGAACATTTTCAATCGCAGCCATCCAACCACGTATTTATATGCACACAAACAATTGTTATAACGACACAGTAATTCCACTTACATTTCTATTACGTATTCAAATATATGAATACTTTTACAAATGGATCTTTCATTCATATTCCTTCAAAATTCAATTAAAGAATCACAATGTTTACTTAATAAACAATTTTGCCATTTGAAACTCATTTCCTCTCTTTCTCTCCATAAATAAATTCTTTCACAATAATGAAAAATTATTGCTAACCTGGGAAAATTTAATCGGAAACCTGGAAAATTGAGACAAAATTTACAGGAATTAAATTGATAATCTATTTTAATAAAAAAGCAATAAAACATTTTTTTACATTCGTAAATATTTCTCGATATTTCTTAAACAGTATTGATTCTGTAAATAACCGACTAAGAAAATTAACTGGAATTTTCGATGAGGAAATTGAGAATTAAAAAAAAGAATATATATGAAAATCGAACAAAATTGTGAGAAAGTGGTCCTTTACAAATCCGTTGAGGAAGATGATATGTTCTGCGTAAATTCTTTTATGGGGTTTACGTAAAAACGTAGGTACTTAAACTCCCGCTCATAATACGTATGAATTGTCGAGAAGAGGAATGAGGCACGTGTAGTTTGTTCATGTTTGTCGTGCTTTTAGTAGGAGAAAATCACCGCAGGCATGTATAATATACTTGCCAATGAATCTCTTCTTATTTCAGCGTAACGGAATCCTCAAATGAATGGACCTTTGCCTTATAAATTTATTTCTCCTTATAGTAACATTTTTATAAAATATTCTTTTTTTGTCTTCAAGCAAAAAAGAATCTGATCTTTATCTTTTATTATAAGAATATAGAAACAAAAAGTCATGATAGTAAAAGTGATTTTCTCATTCATCTCTTAAATATATATACTGTGAATAATATAAATTATAAAATAATTACATAATCATCCTGACTTCAGGTTCAAATCGTTTTTTCATCTTCTGATATCGAACTTCTGCACGATTATGCAAATGTTGTTGTTTGATTTAACATATTTTCCAAGATCGTAAATTTAATTGCTGGATAATTTCTTCTAAATTAAATTTTATATTAATTTCGTTATTTTTTTTTTATAATTTTTCTTTTTAATGTTTTGAACAGTTTTGAATTTTAAAATTAATGAAAATCTAATTTAATGATTTGAAGACTAAAAAATACCAAAAATTAATTAAACCAAATTATTTTCAATTGAAAATAATTGAATTTCTGCGAAGAATTTTATAATTAAGATTTTTTTAAATAATTCTTTCGAGAAATGTTATTAATTATGAAAATAATTAAAATCTTAGTAAGAATTTTATGAAAATTAAGTATATTAAAAGTAAGTGAATTCTTATAAAGAATTTCACCAAAATTTGTCAAAATAATTATTATTTAGGAAAAGAATAACATTTTTTAAAAGTGTTTAATTACATTTACGCTTATTTATTTTATTTAGAATTTTATTGAAATTTTTTAAAACAATAAAATTTTTGTGGAGAATTTTAATAAAATTCTTTAAAATAATTGAATTTTTGAGAAAAATTTTATAAAATTTTTAAAAATAATTGAATTTCTGCAAAAATTTTTATAAATTATGAAATTAATTGAAATCTTGCTAAGAATATTGCATTAAAATTTTCAAAAATATTTCAATTTATTTTCGAGGAATTTAATTTAAATTGTATTTAAAATATTTCAATTTTCATATAAAGAATTTAATCGAAATTTTTCAAAATAATTGATTTTTTGAGAAGAATTTTATAAAATTTTTTAAAATAATTGAATTTTTTCCAGAAATTTTATTGAAATTGTATTGAAAATAATTTAAATATAATTGGAAATTTCATAAAATTACAATTTGATATTCCAAGTTTTGTGGATATTGGAAAAAAAATTGGTTTATTTTACAGCGTGTAAAGCGGTGTTAAAAAGTCGTTGACTCTAAATAGTTATTATTAAAGAGACAGGAAGAGAACGTCGTTTTGTTGCTAATTTATGCATGTTATTATATATACTTAGAATCTATTATGATCTTCTATCTTTTCTCAGACACTCGGGGGAATCTCTCTTATACCAATACATTGATACACCTTTTATTACCACCTATTAATAACTCATATTTCACTTCTTTCACTTGATTCTTTCACATTTTCTTTCTTGACATATCTTTTTTAGTGCCTATCACAAGACTTTAGAAAAGAATTAAAGGAAAAAAAATATTTGCAAAAAAAGCTAATGAATATTATTTTTATCTTTTTTTCCAGAGACTCGCAGTGATATTTTTTGTCGTAATTGTCTCGGTGGTTTTGGCCACTGAAGATTCAATGACTGAAACATCAATATCTCAGGGAACAACACCACCAGTGAAATTGGATAAAACTCTTCGGAGAGCACTTTTGAGGGCTCTAACCGATTTGGAGACGGAATCTGCCGAGCAGCATGCGAGCAACAATTCAGAAGAAAACCAAACCGATGATGAGAATTTCAAGAAAAATGAGAGAAAGGAGGAGGAAAATTTTGGAAAATCGACATTTTCGTTTAATCATTTCTCCGGAGATGACGAAACCAGTGATGAGGAGAAATTGCAGAATTCAACTTTTATTGAAATTGAAAAATTCGTCTCTTCTGATTCTCCAGTTACATTGAGGACAATTATCGATAAACCGAGACATTTTATCAAGGTATAGTTTTTTTATGTAAATTATTTTCGATTTAATTTTAAATTTCGTTTTTTAGACTTTTTTTCAGTTCTTTTTGCTTTCTCATAGAGAACGGATTGTATTTAGTTAAGAGTAGTTTATTTATTATTTAAATAGTTTATCGCATCTTTTTCGATTATTGAACTTTCTTTTCTAGGTTACGAATGCAATTTCTCCCGCGAACTTGTCATCGAAGCAAAAGCAGGATAAGACGACAGAATTGAGGAATTTAAAATCCTCGAGTCCTTCTTCGGCCAACGAAATTGAAACCGTGACTTTAAAATCTACAACACAATTCACAGAGACTCTCATAAGGAGCGAAAGTAGTGGTATCGTGGCCGCCAATGCTCTTGTCGCACCGAGACCAACAGTCCCGAGTCCCACGGTGCAGCCCGCGACAAACACTTCCTCCAGAAATGCCGCCACCACCACCAAGCCAAACAAGGAAGATGACGTCGAGGATGTTAAAATATTTCAAGCGCCCCTAGTCGCCGCCTTCACCGTCCAACAGGACGAGAGAGGAATTCCCAAAAGTGTCGTTCCAATTTATCGACCATCCGGCGACGGTCAAGCACTAACCCTCCAAGAGCAATTGGACTTCAAGCAAAAATTACTCGAAAAACAACTCGCCGATCTTCAGCAGCAACAAATTCAGCAGACACAATTTTTACTCAGACAGCAGCAAGCTTACGAAGAACGAGTTCGACAGAAACAGCAACAAGAGATCTACAGTCAGGAGCAAGCGAGACTCAAGCGTCTTCAGGAGCAAACCAGACTCAAGCAGATTGACGAGCAGAGACAAAAGCAATTCGAAGAGCAGAGACAAAAACAATTCGAAGACCAGAGACAAAAACAATTCGAAGAGCAGAGACAAAAACAATTCGAAGAGCAGAGACAAAAACAATTCGAGGAGCAGAGACAAAAACAATTCGAAGAACACGTTCGTTTGAAGCAATTAGAGGAGCAGCGAATCTATCAACAACGTCTTCAATTACAACAACAACAGCACAATTTTCATCAACTCCAACAGCAACAATTGCCGATTGAACAGAACAATATTTTGCCATTTAAGCAACAGTTGAAGAACAACAATGTTCGACTTCAGCCAAGTATTGCTTTGGAATTACCGCAAAATATTCCGGCAATTCCATTCCAATTTCAGGATCAATTACGCGTTCAACAACACAGACAACAATTGCAATTTCATCAGCAGCAAAATTTCCTTCAACCATTCCAACAGCAACAACTTCCACCGAAGCAACAGCCGCCACAGAAACTCCAGCAACAGGCATTTGCTCCCTACTCGTCTGATTTTCAACCACCGATTGTCCCTCCCACAAGATTTAATCGCCAAGAGGGATTCGGATCAGTGGGCAATTTTGGTTTTAACGTAGACAATGGGTATGAATTTTTGAAAGCAGTATAAATATGTAAAAGTATATTTATTATTATATATTGCTAATTTTAATCATTAATTTTCAATAGTCAAAAGTTTGTCCTGTTTTCCTAATTTTAGTTAATTAATTATATTTACTGATTTAGTAACTGATTTAGGGTTGCCACAGGTCAAAGAAATTAAGGATAAGTTAAGAAAATTTAGGAAAAGAAAGGAAAAAAAAGTTAGGAATATTAATTTGGTTTGGAAAATGGAAGAGATCAAAAGTACTGTAAAAATATCAAATTCCAGAAATGCTGCAAAATTTCTGGTTTTTTGTGTCCAAAAGCATTTTTGAAATATTTGAAAACCTTGAATACTCCTTGAATTTTTTCATCTTAAAAACTTTTGAATCATATTGAATTTCAAAACTATACTTTGATTTTTTCACTTCTGTAAATACTTAATTTAAAATAAATTTAAATTTATTTCAATTTAAAAAATTAAATTCTAAAATTTAAAGTCTAGAAAAACTTTCTTAATGAAATTAATTATAATTAAATAAGGAAAGATTTTAGTTAAAAATAGTTGCAATTTTTAGAAGCAATTGAATTTTAAGGAACTTTTGGATTAAATTTTTTGAAAATTTCAATTACTCTGAAGAAAATAATAGTTAAATATTTCTTTAAATTATTATATTCAAAATTCTGAAAAAAATAGATTTTTGAGAAATATTAATTCATTTTTTTAAATACTTGAATTTTTACAAAAAAAATTTTTAAATATTATTGTCAAATTACTACAAATTTTGTGTGATTGATTTGAAAATAATAATTTAATTTGTTAAAGAATTGTTGCAATTTTTGAAAGTAAATTAAATTTCAGAAGGTTTAAAATTACAATTTTTGAAAATTTCAATCGTTTCGAAAAAATTAATAATAATTAAATATATTTATATAAAAAATTATTTAGGTTTCAAATTATTTTATTTAAAATTATAAAAAAATTAGATTTTTGAGAAATTAAAATTTTATTTGTGTAACACCTGCTTGAAAAGAGCTACTTTGCTGCACACGCAATTTTTCGAGATTTTAGACCCCTCCTCCCCCTGTCACGCAATTTCATGCAATTTCACATGTAAAAATAGATCATGTCACGTTTAGTAGAGACCCCCCCCCTCCCCCAAAAACGTGACATCATTTGTGAACGCTCCCTATGCAGAAAAGTGTATTTTTCTGCACACTTTTCTGTATACAATATAATATACACTATAATCAACATAAAACTATATTTATTGATTAGAAAAGTATAAAAATTACGTTTTTTGGTAAACAGGTGTTACACAAAGCACCGTATACATCTCATGCGGAAAAGCTACTTTCCGCATGAGGTGCACAATGTACTATTTTTATATTCGAAATTGTGTCTGGAAATCAGGAAAAAACAATTATCGAATTAATTGAAATTTGTATATTGAAATTGAAAGCAATTCAATTTTTTAAATAATTGTTGCAGCTTTTAGAAATAATTGAATTTCAGAAAGTTTTAAACTGATTTTTCAAAAATTTAAATACTTTGAAGAAATTAACAATAATTGAATATTTATTTAAAGAATTATTTTATTTAAAATTCTAGTAAATATTCTTTTTAAGTATTTCAATTCTATTCTTTAAAGATACCTACCTGAATTTTTCTAAACAAGTAATTGAAAATTTTTTAAATAATTGAAATTTCCTTAAGTTCTTTAAAAATATTTGAATTTTTTGAACTAATTTTATTGAAATTTTTGTAAGTAATCAAGGTAAGTTAACCACAGTAATTAATTTTATTAGACAATAAAGTTTTAAATATAATTTTCGATTCTAAGAATTATTTCCTTCTTATAATAATTGAACTCTCCTTGAATTCAGGAAAATATTCAAATTTTTGTCCGGAAATCATGGAAAAGTCAGAGTAATACAAAGTCGCAATTACGAGATTTTGTGGCAATCCTGTTACAGTACAAAAGGTTTTTTAAAACTCAAAAATAAAAATTTAAAATTTGATATTAATGTATTTTAAATAATTGCAGATCATCAAATAGAAATACCTTCAACTACAATTTAAATCAACAGAGAAGTCCAACATCATCGAATTTCGATCAATTCGGACAATTTCGTCAAGCAAGACAACCAACACCGGCAAAACAAATACAAAATCTCCTCTATCAATCGGGAATTGCGAATGAATTGCAAAATGGTATTCAAGGTTTTCCGGGTTCGCAAGAAGACTTGAATATCGTCTCGAAAGTATTGGCCTTGAACGTGGGTGCGGTACCATTAAATACGAACAATGTTCAATTCGATGTCAGTCAACAACGTGCGATTGCTTATAATAGAGCGCCAAGTGTCGCGTGAACTAAAAGGTCCTCAACCTCCATTTTATAAGCGATCCTTTTTTTGCCAAGTCATGTAAATTGCTATACGAGCTGATGATATTAATAAGGTGAAATCGAGTTCTCTCTCATTCTCACTCTCTAGAAAACATTTATACATATATGTATATTTACCGCTCACGTCGGAGCCACTATATGCTCATCTTATATGCTAAGAGTGTCGTTCCGTGCCTTCCAACTATACTCAGATGTCTTTTATGACTTGAGAATGTCTTCAAGCACTTGCCGACAACTGTATCCGTGACTGATTAATCGACGGCTGATGTTCTATTGTAGAATACGATCACCGACAAGTGCTCATCATTTAAATTTACCCAAGGCTATTTTATAAAACTTAACTGTCAGAAATAAAACTGCTCATTGTCATTTCTTTCAATGAATTATTTTTTTATAAATTTATTTTACTGCTATTGATACGGTTTTAAATCGAGAAAATTTCGAGCAGAAAAATTGACTAGCAATATTTTTCTTTAAAAAAAAGGGGGAAAGGATAAACGAGAAAATTAAAAATACAGAATGTACTAAACAAAAAAATTAAAGAAATAGAATCAATCGAAAAAATCGAATTCTATCAAAACAAATCAAAAAGAAAATTAAAAATAAAGAAGTGTAATAGTCCAAATATTGTAAAATTCATTCCTTGACAAATTTTCTCTTTAGAGAAAAAAGGAAGATTTTATTTAAAAAAAACCTGATAAAATTCCCTTTTTTTAGAGGAAAAGGAGCAGTTTCTGTTTTAAAAAAGCTGATGAAGATGAAGAATAAATTTTAAAAAAGTAAAATATCTTCTATATTAAATTTCTCTTGGAGATAAAAAGAAGATTAAAAAATCATTTTAAACTTTAAAGAGAATATAATTTTTTTTCTGTGGCAAAAACTTCCTTTGGGCATATGTTTTTCTAGATGGAAAGCAATTAATTCCTTAAACGAAGAGTAATAATATTAATTATACGACGTGATTATCGGCCACGAATCAAAGAAGTTTAGTACAGTAGGAAATAATCTTGTTGAACTGAAAAATAATTTATATAGTTACCACACTTGCAATATTGTGAGTAAGGTAAAAAAAAGGAGAACTCTTCCAAGAATGGAAGATATACACAAGAGTCGTTTGTTGCGCAATTGTTATACATTATTGCGACACTAATTTTGTATATAATGCACGATCCCATGTAGCTCTCATTTCACGTCTATATTATATACTTGGTCCCTCTATTTTCTTCCAATTCAAATTGCCTGGTTTATTACTAATTAGACTGACAGTAATTTTACCTACTAGAGAAATGGGCAATAATACACAAAGCAAACATTTTCAATCAGCGAATTTTTTTTTCTTCTTTGATGAGACTATTTTCTTTTCTTTCTTTTTCTTTTTTTCTTTTTTTTTTGTTTTATTGTGGTCATAACTTCCAATGAAAGTTTATGTAAAAAAATGTTACAATTCTTATATAATATACACTTTAGTTTCTTCTTAATTATAAAGAAAAAAATATTTTAACTTTAAAAGATAGTATTTTTTTTAATTGATTTCAATTAAACAATTTTGAACAGTTTCCGTTTTGTCTTGTAATGATAAATTTCTTTTTTACTTTTCAATACTTTTTCCCACTTTTTTATTAATAATTTTTCTTGCTTTCAATATAAATTTTATTCTTAAAAAAATTGTCATTGGCAGCAAATTTTAATATTAAGAAAACATTTTCTTCATTTTTTTTATAAATTTCTTGCTTTAAAAATAAATTTAATCTTGAAAAAATTAAAAGCAAATTTTTAATGTATTAGGAATAAAATTTTATTTAATAAAATTTCTTTTAAACTTTTTTCTTACGTTATGAATTGTTTCCTTTAACAATAAATTTATTCTTGAAAAATTGTCATCAGAAACAAATTTTTAATATTAGGAACAAAATTTGCATTTAAAAAATCTTTTTCTATTTCTTGTTTTATAAATTTCATGCTTTAAAAATGAATTTTATTTTAAAAAATATTCTTATTAAAAACAATAATATTAAGAATAAAATATTTTATTAATTTTTTATTTTTCTTGTGTTATAAATTTCTTGCCTTAAAAATATATTTCATTTTTAAAAAAATGATTAAAAACCAATTTTTTCTTGCTTTTTTCTTGTATTATAAATTTCTTGCTTTAAAAATAAATTTGATTTAAAAGAAATTATCAGAAACAATCAATATTAAGAATGAAATATTTTATTTTATTATTTTTCTTTGTAATATAAATTTCTTGCCTTCAAAACAAATTTTATTCTTGAAAAAATTGTTATTAGATACAAATTTTATATAGTATTAAAAATAAAATATTTATTTATTTTTCTTGCCATATAAAATGAAGCTTATGTATAATTATTTGACAAAAAGTAACATTAAAATTTAAAATTATGGTTGAATTGAAGACTTGTAACAAAATTTAATTAAAATTCGACGGGAACAGCAGAATTTCTAGCAAAATCGTGATTTTCAAATTGACGTTAGCTATAAACTTTCCCCGCGACTATAGTGCATATTGTATGTTCAACACTTTGATTGTATGTATAAACCTTCTGTGAGTTTAAATTGTAGAATTCGATATGTCCTCAATTTCACAAATGTTTGGTATATATATACATATATAAATTATTATAGATTTCTCTCTAAACAGGATACTAAAAAAAAATTGTTTCTCTCTACACAGAATAGTAAAAAAAATTATTTCCCTCCACACGGGATAGTAGAAAAAATTCTTTTTAGTTTTATTTTTTTATTTTCTCTTTCGTTTAGAATTTTATTAAATTTCTTCTTTTTTTAATAGAAATCTTTGTGTATTAAACCTATGCAAGTGTATTTTATAATAAAAAAAAACAATAGAATTATTAGGCTGAGACTAAATGGGTGCTATATTTTTAACTTAATAGAGTTTAATATTACAGTAATCGAATTGACAATAAACTTTTTCACATGTACATAATAAAATTTGAATAATGAAAGGAAGAAACTAATTAAAGAAATTTCTTTCAAGTCCTTAGTTTGTAAAATGGAACTTTTATGTTAAGTACTTATAATTATTATTGTGTTATAATAATTATTATGATATAATAATTGCTATTATATTATTTTAACGAATGGGTGAGATAATATAATCGAATTTAGTTTAACTGCTTATAATTTATCTGATTGCCAATACATTATTATGTACAATTTATTGTAAAAATGTTAATAATAAAAAAAACTAATTTGTTTCAATACATTTGTGTTTTCCTTTCCTTTTATAAAATTGTTCTAATGGAAACGATTTTTTAAATTATTATTTTTTTTAATTTCCTTGCTTATTACATTCCCAGTAATAAGGGGTGAATTAAAGTGGATTGGCACTTTTATGCTCTTAAATTCCAGACCAATTCCGTTTTTGTCCGTAATCTTAATGAATTCCTTTTCTATTGTTAAATTCATAATTTCTATCCAATTCAATTCTCTGTAACTACGTGACCAGAATTTGAAACCCCTTTAATGCCCTTTAAAGAATTCAATGTTAATTAAAAGGCATTAACTCCACAACAAATGATTCCCTTAAACGGCATTAAAGTAAATTCAGACTCTGGTCACGTGGTTACAGAGAATTGAATTGGATAGAAATTATCAATTTAACAATAGAAAAGGAATTCATTAAGATAGAATATAGAATAGAATATATATTTATTTATGTCCTAGGTAAATACCACGAGGACAACCATTAAAAATACAGTAATTAATAACATATATATCGTATAAAATTTAAATAAAGCTATATACATCTCATCCAGACAATAAAATACTTTGATTTACAAATTATCACAGCAACTCACATACAGATGACATACCAATAAAGATACACTCTATATACTCTATACATCCAGCGAAAATAAATATTTATATAATTGTAGTTTAAATGTTTTTGGACTTTCAATATTTGTCATAGAACGAGGAAGAGAGTTCCATAAATTTATGGCAGTAACCATGAACGAGTTTTTATATTTTTCTGTTTTACATTTTGGAGCCCTAAGAATGCAAGGAGATCTTAACTCCCTGGTAGTAATTTCCTCTCTAAAAACAAACTTTTCATACAAGTACGAAGGTTTTTTATTGTTTAAAATTACATGTGTAAGACAGCCGATGTACCAAAGTCGTCTGTTACTAACACTAAGCCAACCTAGCTGTAACCTATATGGAGTTACATGTTCATCCCTCTTTAGATCAAATATAAATCTTATACATGAATTCAGGAGTTTCTCAAGTTTATAATTTAATTCTTCAGTCATATCATTATATACAACACAACAGTAATTCAACCGTAAGGGCTTTCTTATTTATTTTGAATTGTGATAAGGTGGCATAGACGCTTTTGCATATTTTGCCAACCTGCTTATCCCAAGAAAGAGTTGGCGTAAAGAAAACACCCAAATTTTTAACTAAATCAACAAAAGGGATGGTATTATCATTAATTTTTATTACAGAGCAATCACTCAAATTCATTTTATTTACATACCAAGTAGAGCCGATTATCATAGAATAAGTCTTATTAAAATTTATTTTAAGAATATTTACTTTCGCCCAATCAAATACAGCCTTAACATCCTCATTTATTAACCTCATATTATTCTGCAAGTCTTCCAAACTAGAATGTATATAGATCTGCAAATCATCCACAAAATACATATGCTTAGAATACTTGAGAACACCTCTGAAGTCATTAGTATAAAGTAGGAACAATAGAGGACCCAGCACTGAACCTTGAGGAACTCCAGTTCCAATATATCCCCACTCAGATAGCTCTCCATCTGGTCCCACAACAGCCTGGGTTCTACCTGACAAGTACGAAGCAAACCATCTTATGACTGATCCCGACAAACCTATGGCTTTGAGTTTCGATAGCAAGATAGTATGAGGTACCGAGTCAAAAGCTTTACTAAAATCAAAGAACACCACTATGGTTACCTTCTTTTGATCAATCGCTTTACATATATCATCAGTTGCACCAGCCAAGAGTGTTTGTGTACTGAACCCTTTTCTGTAACCAGACTGAAAAGGGCTAAGAACATCATTTGTCTCAACAAATTCATTCAACTGATAAAACACGACCTTCTCAAGAGCCTTTGACAATGAAGAAAGAATAGCAATAGGTCTGTAGTCCCCCGGCTGCTGTGGAACTTTCACCTTTCCAATAGGCTTAATCAAAACCCTCTTCCAATCTTCCGGAAAAATAGAAGTCTCTAGAGACATATTGAAAAGATCAAGCACGTAAGGAAACAACACTGGTATTCCTTTCATGATATAACTTATAGACAGTCCATCAGATCCCTGCGCCTCTGTTTTGATACTTTTAAGAGCTTTTAATAATGTAGAGGGACAAATATCTTCAAAGAAAAACAGACCGTCATTAAACTTATAATTAACAAGCAAGTTCGAAATAAAGGAAGGTGTCACATTAAAAGATGAGTCTCCACAAACAGATAAAAAGTAATCATTAATTATATTCACATTAAAATTAAGTGGAGAATCATCTCTTTTATCTTTAGCAATGCCAATACGTCTTAGCTCCTTCCAAAGTTTTCCCGAATCCGTTATGTTTTTTAGTCTACCAGTGTTGTACCTATCACGCGCTTGCTTAACCCCTTAAGAGATTGTAAAAGTTTGTAGGCAAATAAGCATTAAATAAGCATTACCAATGCTTTAAATTAAATTAATCCTTGGTTATTTATTGGTTACCAATACTGAACCAACGTTTGAAATCAATATTTTACAAATACCAACATATAGCAAAAATTTTTCAAAAAAAAAAATAAATAAATTACTAATCTAAAGAAAAAAAATTAATTTTATTGGAACACTCTGTTAAAAACAGAATGTGATAAAAATCAGACAAAGATAATATTTGTCTAAGTTCGAGAATGCAAGCGTCTCTCCTTATACACGGAAAGAAAAAGTCCGTCAACCATTAATGGATTAGTATATTACTTTGAGACGGGACACTTTTTCCGTTGATGGTTACTTAACTTTACTTAACGATTGAAAACGAGTCATGGATTGATTAGAATGCCAGTATGTGACCAATTGTTTTAGATTTAATGCTGAATTGTTATCAATGGCTGTTTGAATGTTTACGAATCATTAGTGAAAGTTTGTGAAACGTTAGTTGACTCGTATTCTAAATCGGCGCTCTTCACTAGCGCATTGTTGCGCAGTGTACCGATGCGCATTTCTTCCGGTTTCTCTATAGTCCATGTGTTTTTGCTGTCTGCTATACATATCCCTATATACTATTATGTGTAATGTGAATATTTAACTTAACTAACAATTTGCAGTTGAATTGCGTCTAGAAATTGACCTCGATGAAAATATATTTTCTTTTATATTTCTCGCTAATTAAAAAGTAGTTATTAGTGCAAAATCATTTCTCACAAGTTGTGAAAAATTTTGTTATTTGGTATATAAGAACAGTTTGCTTCTAAACTTAAAGTGTTATAAGTGTGCGTTTCTACGTGTAGTTATTATAAGTGCGAAAATGTGTTGGAAAATGTGTTGGTCTAAAGCGTCTAAGAGTGTAAATAAAATATCGGAACTGTGCAACG